TTCATATATATATATATATATATATATATATATATATATATATATATACAGTAATATTGATGATTCCTTGAACTTTCCCTCATTTCACATTGATATTTAACTTATTAACTTTCATATTTTCTTTCTGTCATAGGATTGTCCTGATAGAAGATGCCACTGACTGTCTAATGTCATTCTCAGATTTTATTTATTCATTCCAAATCCAGTTCTATTTTGAAGGTAATAACTTATAATTTAATATAATAAAAATATCTAACAATATGAAGCTGCAGTTTTTGCTAATTATTTACTTACTTACAGGTGTTATTACTCAAGCACCCAATCACAAAACAGCAATGATGGTTTCGTCACCTTGGAATTATAAGCTTCTATCGCATTCTGAGCAGTTTTGAGATATTGAGCTTCAAAGTTTTTGCATTCCATATAGTGATATGGGATATGGGGAACAAGTCACTTTCATACATCAGTTCCAAAATGTACACAACTTGGCAGATAGAACCTTATAACTCCAAGGTGATGATATTTAAAGGTCTGGCTTACAACAAAAGCCGCTCTGACCTTGAGAGTTTAACAGCAGTTGTAACAAAAGGACAGAGTGACATCATCAATACCATGTGAAAGCGTTTCTATGGTTACTCGAGGCTCCGTCGTTCATTGGAATGATCTGATCCTCATTCACTTTCGCAGAGTTTGTGGAGAGTGTGTCTGTGATTTACCAAGACCTGCTGTCTGGGAAGAGCCCAAACACTGTCATAGTCCCGACCTCCACCTCGGTGGAGCAGTTATCCAGCGCAGCCAACGAGGAGCCGGACGCTCAAGGCGGCGTAGACTCCTCCATCTTTTGTGAATGTATAGAAGGACTTTGTGAGAGGTTTAAACACAAGTAAGACAAAAATAAGACATTTTTTAACACTCATAATTCATTCATATAGTGTACTATTATAGTATTTATTCATATTTTGAATTAGCTTTTATGTTTATATTTTTTATTTTAATTTTAGTTTAAGTTTTAGAAATTTTGTTATCTGCTTCTGACAGTTTTGTTTTTTTATTTCTATTCGACTATTTTTGTTTCAGATGCAATTTTAGTACTGTAATTTGGTTACATTTTATTTTAGGTGTCCTCGTTACAATGTAATTATACATATAAGTATACTGAGTAATTTTAATTAACTACATGTACTTACTATATGGTTAGGGTTAGGATTAGGGTTTGGCTTAGGGTTACTTGCATGTAATTATGCATAATTAATTGTTATTATAATAGTAAGTACATGTAACGTGTAACAAGGACACCTTAAAATAAAGTGTTACCTAAAATTTTTAACTGTTATATTTTATTTTATATATTTTATTATACTAATATTATATATATATATATATATATATATATTACAATTTCAATTACAGATTTTTTAAAAATAGTTTGAAATAACTTCAAGTAATTTTATTACTCTTGAATTTGCTATTTAATTATATTCAGTTTATATTTAAATATATACTTATATTTAAATTAAATTTTAATTATTGCATCAATTATAATAATAGACTTATATAGTAACTTGTTTATCGCAAAATATAATGGGACCCACTATAGCCATCCTCACTACTAGAACATGAGAGTGATTTCTTTTCTTCCAAGGTTTCCTTCCACTGTTGCCATTAAGGAGATATTAGAGAGCAGTCAGCGAGTGTCTTTCTATGGCTTCCTGATGGCCTTGGCCAAACATGAGGGAGTAAACCAAGACATCGGTGAGCATTAGATGATGCTTAAATGTATTTCTGAATACAAGTAACTTTTAATAATTAGAAATATAAACTGAACGCTTTATCTTGTGTCATATATATTTATCAGGTGCTCTTCCCAATAAACCGGACCTGCTGATTGATCCAGAGATGGACCAGGAGCTGGAGAGACTGTGAGAGAGACGGACTTGCTTAAAAGAGTATATTACAGTCACTTGCTGGTTAAATATGAACTGTCTGTTATTAAAAAAAGGGGAACTTGCTAACAATCTTTTTATATTTAACACCTTTTTTAAAGCTAATATACTAGCATTTAACACTATGATTCTGTGATTCTTCCAGCATAGCTCAAGTCGCCATCAGCCCGACCTCCAACAACAACAGCAGCAGCAGCGCTGCGGGACAGAAGGAAACGTCCAAGAAGGCCTCACCGCGCAAGTCCCTGCACCAACGCAAAAGGATCGAAATGGAGAGTGATGGTTCCACGGAGGAGACCGACTCTTCTGAGAATTAACATGCACAGACCTGCTTGTGAGCATCTTAATGTTTTTTTTTAGACAACTGTGCCGGTTCACTAATTTGATTAGAAAAATGATCTTCCAATAGTGCTGATACGTGTCTGTGTTCACTACTTTCCAGTTCTATGGGCTTCTCTGTAACCCAACTACTTCTGTTGCTGAAGCAAAAAAATAAACAAACCAGCCTGCCATGTTGTGCCTGAAATGTCAAAAATTTATATGAACTTGTTTGTAGAAATGTAAAAAAATATAGTAGTAGAGAAATTGATCTGTGATGTACATTTAGAGGTTAAACCCAGAGAATGTCACATTTGAATGCAATAGTGTATATATAAAAATTATTTTTAGTTTAATTAAACATAAGGTCAGTAAGTTTAATTAATTTACATTTAAAGTCTTTTTGACTTTTACATTGTTACACTATATATATATATATATATATATATTTACAATAAATGTTGTTCTTTTGAATTTTTCTACTGTACATTGATAATTTTTTGAGCACCAAATCAGCATATTAGAATGACTTCTGAAGGGTCATGTGACACTAAAGACTGGAGTAATGATGCAACACAGGAATAAATGACATTAAGAAATATTAAAATACAAAACTATTTTAAATTGTAATAATATTTCACAATATTAATGGTTTTACTGTATTTTCGATCAAATAAATTCAGCCTTAGGGAGCCTAAGAGACTTTCAAAGACATTTAAAAAATCTTACCAATCCCCCAGTTTTGAAAAGTCGTGTATAAAAATCTTTTGTTTGTGTGTATACACATAGCCACACATACACTTTTAATAATTACACACCAGGACAATCCATTTACAAATAGGATTTAACTTTATGGGTTCCACAGAACAGTTATGATCATTCAAAAAACAACAACAACAACAAAAAAAAACAAACCAAAACAATGTACAGTGAGAAATGAAATAGGCACAACTTGTGATTTTGCAGGATCGGTTCGCAGATATTTTTTGCAGACACAAATGATCCTAATAACTGAATACCACCTTTCAAAATGGCCGTACCAAGCAAAACTGTTCTACAGAAAACCATTTGGCCTGTTGATCTATTCAATGAAAACTTTGCTCATTTAGTGAATATTGCATATTAGTTAAGCGCATGCTGTGAGGATGTGCCATTTTGAAAGGACTGGTGAAGATGGGTCCATTATAGGCCTTGGCTTTAAAACCTTTCTTTTTGTATCTGGGCCCTGGGGAGAAAAAATTAGCACACATTTTTTATTACCAGACAGCTGTATTCCTCAGCACCATTTCTGTCATTATGACAGTAATGTTGCATCCTCTCCTTATATGTTTCATTTGCCAGAATAATATATTTTAAGATCTTTCCATTTCAATAGAATTATAAATAAGATATATATAATATATAAAAAGAAAATATAATTATTTGGTTTTCACAGCTACATACGTCAGGGATACCGAGATTGAAGCAGAATGCGAATAAACCCAGACTACGTTCTGTTTAACAGAGCAACATATGGGAATATAAACACACATAAACACTAAATACGAGAACCAAAAAGAAAAAGCATTCACAGACGTGAGCATGGATGCCATATTGTATTTGTGAGACTCTGTAGTGCTCAACTGACTGAAGAAAAACGGCAGCAATTACCCTATTTAACATACAACGCTTGAAATTGTGGCACAGCAATGCTCTGGATCACGGGTTCATAACCTTGGGTTCAAAGCGGTGCTAACCACCCTTTCAAAACAATGTGAGAAACGTTGGAAAGTGGTCTTCAACCCGGGGTTTCGCATAGTGGGACACCAGATGGACAGACTGGGCTGAATTCAATTACTCAGTTCACATCCATTCTGTGAGTGAAGAAGGACATGGCCCAATATAGCTTTGGTTTCAGATAATCTTTGATTTTGGATCCAGTCTAGCTTTAAAGCAACCGTATGTGTTAAAAGAGTGGAATTCGCTGTCGTAATTACAGTAAAAAGTACACGTGCATTTGTTGCTGCCGTAAAGCAATCCGCCCTTTTCGCGGTATTTCGTAGCCACTCAGCAAACTCACACACTCCCAGGCATTTGTGGAGGAGCGCGGGAAAAAAAACAGAAACCATTCGACTCAGATTAAGTGAGCAATCAGAATGATTTTGAAACTGATATTTCAAGGTACATTTTTTTTTACATACAGTTGTTTCAAGATCTCCTTGTGATGTTTCATCCATCATTAATGCATCAGACATTGTGCTCCGAATGAATTCAAAACCAGACTTCGCACAAATGATTCATATAAGTCACAGTAAACTTTTTTTTTTGTTATTAAACTTCATAAGGCTTTACACCAGTCAGTAATACTCGAGTTGTACTATGTGAAAGTAGTTGCGCTGTAGCTGATATCTGTTTCGATTTTAACATTTGTCTAAAATAGACATCATCAACATTATATCATCAACATAACACGGTACAAAGAGGCTCAAAACCACCATCATGCGACACCTCATATAGTATGTGATAATGGAAAAATACAAATAGACTGAAGGTCATTCGAGGAAGATGTCTTCTGTCGGACAGGAATATTCCATATGTTCTTTGTAGAACTGCTGAAAAGCTTTCCTGTAAAAACATAAGTATTTATTTATATGCATATCTATATTATATGCACTGAAGTCATATTTTAATTGCATTTTGGGAAGGTCTATGTGATTTTAGATCTAGAATGAGTTTTGTTTTTATTTGTGCTTTCAAAAATTGACTCAGGAGCAGAACTCATATTTCTGCCTCAAAAAGCAGAATATTTCTGCCATATTTTAACATAACATATTTTTACCACTAAGGCCCTGTCCACACGAACGCGGTTATTTTTAAAACCGCAGCTTTTTCTACGCCGTTTGGCCGTTCGTCCACACGCAAACGCAGCACCAGGTCACTGAAACCGAACATTTTTGAAAACGCCTGCCAGGGTGAAGATTTTCAAAAACTCCGGTTTGCAGTGTTATCGTGTAGACAGCGAAACCGGAGTTTTTGGCTTGTGACGTTGTGACGTGTTATCTCCGCCTACTGGAAACTTTTTCAGGCTTCTGATTGGCCAACATGGCTTTACGGTTGAGCTTATATTGCCACCTGTTGGTTTGGCATGCTCTTGACAGTGCTTCATATAGCATGCGTTTGCGTTTTCATGTGGACAGAGATTTTTTTAAAAACAGAAGGAAAAACTCTGTTTATAAAAATACCCGTGTACGTGTGGACATGGCCTAACTTGTAAACTGTTAAAGACAGACCAAATTTAAAGGGATAGTTCACCCAAAAATGAAAAGTTTGTCATTAATTCTGTCATCAAAACCCTAAGACCTTTGTTCATCTTTGGAACGCAAATTAAGATATTCTTAATGAAATCCGAGAGCTTTCTGACCCTGCATAGACAGCAAGGGAACTACCACATTCAAGGCCCAGAAACGTAGAAAGGACATCATTAAAATAGTCCATGTGACATCAGTGGTTCAACCTTAATTTTATGAAGCTACGAGCTACAAGCTAAAACAAAAACAACGACTTTATTCAACAATTCTTCTCTTCCCTGTCACTGTCCTCCTCCATTCACGAGAGTACCATGACGCGTGCATGTGCATTCCTCTGCTTGTAAACAAGGCGCAGCGCATGCTTGTTCTATGTCAGCAGCACCACATGCGTGCGTCATGGTACTCTCGTGAATGGAGGAGGACAGTGACAGGGAAGAGAAGAGAAGAATTGTTGAATAAAGTCGTTGTTTTTGTTTTAGCTCGTAGCTCAAAAATATCTTAATTTTTGTTCCGAAGATGAACGAAGGTCTTGCGGGTTTGGAACAACATGAGGGTGAGTAAGTAATGACAGAAATAATTCATTTTTGGGTGAACTATCCCTTTAAGCTACAATGTTGTTAACCAATGGTATATGCTTTTGTTGAAGGCACCAGCCTGCATTATTTTAACTACTACTACTTTGTTCTTCTTTTTTTTTAATAATCATGTTTAATAGCAGAATTCCTGGTGAAAAACTACATTACCCATGATTCTTCAGAGAATCTCCACCAATTACATCAAAATAACTCTTTAGAGCTCTTTAGAGTCAGTCTCTCTATAATATGCTCTCAAACTACTTAAAGATTTTGTATATATAAACATATTTTGCAATAAACAAAACATATTGTAATCAACATCTTTAAATCAGTAGCTTTATATTTCTCTATTGCTTTTAATTCAATTGTCATTCACAATGTTTAATGCGATTGTTCTTTCCCTCATTAAAACCACAAAGTCTTGCACCTTTGTTTTTGGTCCAGTTTTCATATACTTCTTGGCTTCAAATCAAAGTTTGTAACATTGTGAATCACCTTGTAGCCGGTTGGTTTAGTTCATGGCTTATAACTTTTTTTACAAAGACTTTTTCACTATGGGAAAAATAAATAGTGGACAGGCACTGTTGCACTGTATTTTCCCTTTTGACCAATCAGCAAAAAGACACGAATGAGAAAAAAAGAAAGAAAAGTAAAGAAAACTCAACATTTTGTGGTTTTTAGTCCATATCTTTTAGCCCAGCATACTGCTAAAAGTTTACTTTTGACAACAAGATTTTGTAAAAAATTGAGTAAAAAATTTCTGTTTCTTGGATAATGGACCATATATGTTAATTTACTTTATCTAATCAAATGCTTACTAGAATGAAGATGATATGCCGCCTGCAACTAACTAGCAACATCACCTAGCAAATAACCATGTATACTACTGTATATGCAGTATACATAATGATTTGTAACATACAAAAAGCAGTATGTTAAATGAGTAGGAAATGTTCCACAATAAATTAGTTAGTGTTTCAACAAGAAATAAGTCAAATCGAGAAACAAAAATTGTTTGTGGGATCTTTAAGCAACTAGAGCACTCACCCAACAGATTCAGCCAGTTTTGTGGTTGTATCATCTGAAAAGAACACATGACAGGCGAATCTCTGGTATGCTGGATGTTTCGTTATTACTCCAAAATACCTGAAAGAAACACACAGAGTATTTACAGTCTAGTATGTTGTTATTGTTGTATGTTCTCTTTTTTCCTGTAGGGGGCGTTGTAACTATAGATGGGTAAAAATTGGGTTATTGTTTTTACAGCTTTATTCTTTTATTCAGCAAAGATGCATTAAATTAATCAAATGTGATAGTAAAGACATTTATAATGCTATAAAAGATTTCTGTTTCAAATAAATGCTGTTCTTTTGAACATTCTATTCATCAAAGACCATTTATAAAATTATAAATGTATCTAACCCTAACCCCTAATTCGCTTATTTTCACATCAGAACAAGTCAAAATGGACAGAAAGGATCTAATAATAGCACTTTGAGAGAAACCACGCATTTCTGTTCAAACTCACTTCTTGTTCTTCGGATGGCACCCACAGAAGGAGATGTTTTTCAGCTGAAAAAAGTGAAAGCACTTCTCACCCTGTAAAATACAGAAAGAAAGATTGAGTGGTCTAATCAGCAGCAGGGATTGAAACATTAGTGTAAGCTGCAGCCACATGATGTCAGTGCGGTGTGAGGTTGTCTGAGTATGTACGCTTAACTCCTGAATCCAGTGGTTTACATCACTGAGCGCGCTCACTAATTCACTCAGAGGGGTTTAGGTTGCGAGATCCCCCCCACATTATGGCTACAGATTACCATTCGGTCTTAAGACGCTTCATTGCATAACTGTGGGACTGCAAATGTTGCATCATAGAGCACAGCTGAGTGGAAGAGCATTTTGGTGACAACATAGCTACAATATGAAGCAGAGGCAGGAGGAATCATTTGACCTTGAGGTCAAAGGTCAATTTTTATTTCCAAATAAGGAAGTCAAATCATTATTTATCCATATTATAGATCTACAAATGGTAATATTGAGAGCACTTCAAACTGTGTCATGTTATTCATTCCTACTATGCTATTTCATGTCATAACATTTTTAAAGATAGAAATCATATTAGTTATTTATTTAATATATA